GGGCTGCCCCCCGGGACTGCTGTTCTGGACGGGCAGCTAGGCTGGCTGGTGGGAGAGGGGCCCTCGGGTGGGCTCCGCTCCTGGGAGGGGGCTCCGGGAGGGGGAGCCGCGGCGGGAGCTGGTGGCCCAGCAGGAGCTGGGAAGAGGGAGGAGGGCGGGAGGGGGAGGAGTCCGGGCGGCGAGGCTCCGCCCCCCGAGGGCCGAGCGGCGGCTCCAAGGCGCCCCCTAGCCGGCGCCTGCCGGCCTGCAGAGTCGGCGCTGATCGCACCCCGAAGGCCGCCTCCTAGGAATCTGCGGGTTCTCTGGGATCTGAAACTCCCAAACCCGGCTCCTGATCCCCGAGGCCGTCTGTGCCCAGCCTCCGCCCTTGATAGCCATTCGGGAGGCTGGCCGCTGAGCTTTAGAATTCTTAGGCAGGGACCCGAGGGCTGGTTTTCCGTGGGCCTCCAGCTCTCACCCAACCAAAACAAAAGAAAGCACCCGGTGCCTCCCCCAGACCCGGGAGTTCCAGACCCCAGCACATTCATCCCCCAGACCCTAGGAATCTGGAACCCCAGCCCTCCTCCCTCAGACCCAGGAGTCCAGACCCCCAGCCTCACCCCCTCCCAGAACCCAGGAGTCCGGGACCCCAGCCCTCCTTTCTCACGGTCACACCTCAACCATCTTGTGTCTCTATCACCCTAAATCCAGGAATCCAGGTGCACAATTGCTTGCTCCCTCTGGGACCCACAAATTCAGGCCCCAGCCTTCTTTTTCAGGAATGTAAGCCTTCGCACCCACTCTCCCAGACCCTGGAGTCCGCAGCCCACTGCACAACTGCTCCCACACGCACGCACGCACACACACACACACACGTGCCACTCTTGGCCTCTGCCCTCAGGGGCCCAGGTGTCCCGCACACACTCCACCCCAATACTTTAGAGTGCTGGGCCCAGCCTCTCTAGCAGGGGATTGGAGGGGGTGGGGGGAGTAGGAGCTGGGCAGTGGCCTCAAGGGCCCCGGCCAGGACCAGGCTGTATCTAGTCGAGGGCAGATGCTGCTTTCCTTCTGGATGTTTGAGTGCCCACAGGTGATGGAGGCCAGGGCCCCTCAATAAAAGAAGGGGTACAGAAGTGTGGTTTTCTCAGAGGACTGGATGGATTGGGTGTCTGAGGGTGACATCCAGGAGCCTCGGACTCGTGGCCCCCCCGAGGGTGGTTTGTGCTGGGGGGTCAGGTTGTCTGAGTATCTAATAGGGACAGAGGCCTGGAAGAGGGGGCCTGGGTTACTGGGTCCTGGACCTCCGGTCTGCGGGAGGAGGGCACCAGCCACCTGGCGTCCTGGGCCTGAGCGATGAGGGGTCTGGAGGCCTGGATTCCCGGCTTCATGTTAGACACCCCGTTTGCAGGCCTAGAGCAACCGAAGCCAAGAGCTGGGTGCCAGCATGTCCGAGGATGGCCTCCTGCTTCTCAGGCCACAATGTGGGGAGGGGGCAGAGGGCAGCTGCTCTCAGGGCCCTGAAGTCCAGGTGCCCAGGTCCCCAAGTCCAAAACTGGTATCTCAATACCTGTTTCTGAGTCCCTACCTGTCCCCCTCCTCCTCCCTCTTTATTTGCAGCCCCTCACTCTCTTGTCCCAGGAGGAGGAAGGCTGAGGCTGGGAGCCGGGGTGGGGGCCCGCCCCTTCCCCCAACCTTAGCAGGAGGAGGGGTCCCCAGGGAGGCCAAGAGGGGGACTGCGGGTCTCCCGGCAGGGGCGGACGGGGACTGAATGTTAATCGCATCCCGAGTGAGTGTGTGTGTGCGAGAACAGAGCGAGCGAGCAAGCGAGTCCCTCCCGCTCCGGCTCCTCCAAGCCGCCACCCTCCGCCCGCAGCCTCCCTCCGCCACCCTCCGCCACCGGTGCCCGGCTGGGGTGGGGGGGGCGGTGTCAGCCCGGGTGGGTCCGCCCGGCCCCCAGGGGTCTCTCGTGCGTCCACCATCTGCCCGGTGAGGAACTGCGGGTCCCGGTGTGTGGGGTCGGGGCTGGCGGAGGGGGGGTGTGTCTGTCAGGGCTGCGGCCGCCGAGAGGGAGGGAAGGAGGAAGGATCTGGCTGAGCCGCCTGGCTGGGTGTCGTGGGCCCCCCAGCCTCCTCCCCGAACCCCCAAACCCGAATGGATGGTGTGTACCTGGGCTCTGTGCCTCCCGACCAGGCGTCTGGCTCCCCCGGCTGCTGTGTCCTCCTGTCTGTCCGCTCAGCCCCTGACAGCAGAGGCAGCCCGGCCCCCATCGGACCCCCGGGTGCGTGTGTGTGTGCGTGTGTGTCTCCCTGAGGTGTCGAGGGGAATCCCAGGGAAGTGAGGGTGTGCGTGTGTGAGTGTGCGTGTTTCTGCCTGTGTTTGTGAGTGGGGGCGCCTGGGGGAGGGGGTCTGGGGGGTGGCCAAGCGAGGAAGGGGCAAGCAGTTCCCCAGACAGGCCGTCTCCCGCCCCTCCCGCAAACACACGCACCCGCCACTGGCTTCAGAGGTGACCCAGACAGACAGACAGACAGACAGACAGACACAGACGCTGGGAGGGGGGGCGCCGAGGGCACAAAGGGGGGGTGCGAGTGAGCCGGGGAGAGGCGAGACCGGACACATGGACTGGGGGAGGAGCCGGGGCTGAGGCGGCGGAGGGGGGCACCCCGGGTGGGCGGAGGGGACATCCCCAAGGGGTCGGGGCGCTGAGAGGACACCCCGACAGCCTCCGCAATGTCCGCGGCCCAACTTCCAGCGCAACATGTGTAGCCGCGTCCTCGCCTAGCCCGGGGTGGCCGCAACCTTGGGGGACGGACAGGGCAGGACGGACCGAAGAAGACGAGGGACAGCCGGAGCCTGAGACGGGCAGGAGGTCCCCACCGCCGCCGCCGCCCCAGGGCCTGGCCCCCAAGCGGCTCCCGGAGCCCTCTGCCGACGCTCTGGGTCGCTGGACTCCGGGTTCCAGTCCTAGCACCCCTGCAATTCCCCACCCAGAACAGGGTCATGAGAAGGTAAGGTCGGGCTGGGGGATGCGGAGGTGGGGGTGGGGAAGTGGACCCCCAGATCTAGGACAGGGAAAGTTGGCCCCGGGCCTCGGCGAAGGGGGGTTTGAATGGCGAGCAGCGGAGCTTTGTCCTCCCGGCTTCCTTGTCTCTTGGGGACTTTCCTCCGCCCCCCCTTTCTCCCTCTCTGAGCCCCTTTTCCTGGATCTCTACACCTCAGACCTCCGAACCCCTCGTTCCTCTGACACTTTGCTCCCTCTCCCCAGCTCCACATACCTGACACCCTATATGGCTATCCCCCCATCTCTCCATCTCACCTTGCCTCTGCACCCCCCCACACACACATCAGTGTCCCCCCTCACCGGCCCGGCCCTCTCCCTCTCCTCTCCCTCTCCCCTCCCTCCTCAGAGCTATGAGTCTGCTATTAATACTCCTGCCAAGGACCTTGAGGGCATCCAGGCCCCTGGCACCCCTTGCCCCAAGCTGCCACCCCTTATTCAAGGTTCTGGAGTACCCTTCCAGCCTCTTCCGAGCACCGAGATTAGGGTGGGGAGAGAATGCCGTTGGAGGTGTGGGGGGGGACGGGACACCGTCTGCAGCACGATGCAAGGGGGGGGCGGGCTGTTGATCAAAGTGGCCTCCCATCTCCTCTGTGAGGGATTGGGGGGGAGCAATGGAGACAGGGACACCCCAGGAATCTCTGGCACCCTCCTCCTCGGCTGGGGGGACAGACTGTGCTGTGTACGGGACCAAGGCTGGGCAACTGGGGAGGCTGGAGCTGGGGTTGGGGGTGCCCGGGATATTGGGACTGATGGGGTTTGAGACAGAAGGGGGTCCTTAAGGGGAGAGAGGGCTACTGGCCTGGACTCCTGGCTCCTGGGCACAAGGGAGGCTGGGCGCCTGGATTCCTGAGTCCGGAGGCAGGAGGGGGCTGGGACTCCTGGGTCCTGGGGGAGGTGGAGGCCGAGAGCCAGGACTTCTGAGTCTTCAGGAGAAGTTGGAGGGCAGGGCTTCTGCTTCCGAGGGAGCAGGGGCTGGGGCTCAGTCTCCAGAATCCCTGGTGGGGCAGGAGACAGGGACTCTAGGGCCCCACGGGGATGGAAGTGGGGCCTGAGTGAGGAGGTGGAGACCGGGGCGCTGGACAGTGTGCTCCCTGAGCGGGCAGGTCCGCCACTTCTCAGTCCCTGAAGGGTGGGACGCTGCCCTTTGGGTCTCTCACAGGAGAAGACTGGGCATCTAGCCTCCCAGATGGGTGGGGATGGAGCTGCCCTCCTGGGCGTCAGCAGGGAGCAGGATCCCGGGGTCCCCAAGGGCTGGGGCCAGGCGGGCAGGTCTGAGAGAGGCTGAGGGGTGAGCAGCCACCAGGAAGGGGGGAAAATGAGAGTTAACCCCGCAGGGGCCAGGCCACAGCTGTGGGTTATTTTGGGGCAGAGGGGGGGCTATTCTGAGCGCTGATTGAGCCAGCTGCTTGGGGAAGGGCAGAGGAGAGGAGGGGCATGGAAGCCAGGATTTGAGAGGGAGAGGCATGCCAGGGGCCCCCACCCCCATCCCTGGGGAGACAGTGGTCCAGCATCTCTGGGAAGGTGGGTGGGGTGGGAGGGTGAGGCCTCTGGGCAGAGGGGGTTTGTGGGCCTTTCCCCCACTCTGGTAGTCAGTGGGGTAGACAGGCCTTTGCTACCATGGCAACCGGACAGGAGCCTGATTGACAGCTAAGAGAGAACCCTGCCCTGTGTGGACCCTCACCCCTTCAGGGAGCCCCTAGTACGGACTGCAATCCCTCTGGGAACCAGGAGTCCAGGCCCCCCAGTGCCCTCCTCCCCCAGACCCAGGAACCAGGAGTCTGGGCTCCTGGCCCGACCACCCCGGGCAGCTAGTATTCAACAGGGGACACAGGAAGAGATGCTGTATTTCCTCTAATTTACTAAATTGCTCTGGGCTGGGAGCCAGGGACCCCTGTCCCCCAGCTCTCCACAGCTGTGTCCCCCAACCCTGCAGCCCAGCCTGGGCCCTGACTCTCTCTCATTAAAAACGGAGGAACAGGGACAGGAGCGAGGGGACCGAAATGGGCTGGGGGTTGTGCTGGGGGTGAGGGGTGAGGTCACGGGGATGTTTTCTCTCCTTAGGGTGCCCCCCAGTAATTTCTTTTTCTCTTTCTCTTCCCCTGCACACCTGACCCCTTTTCCCTTTCTCATCTTTTTTTCCCTTACTTGTTCTTCCCTTTATTTTTGATCCCTCCTGCCACTCGCCTTCCCGGCCTCCCTTTCATGTCTGTGCTGGGCACCTCCCTGGCGGGGGTCTTGATCTCTGCCTTGCCTGGCTATTTCTGTCTTCCTGTTTTCTGTCTGCTCTGCCCGCCTCCTCCCTCCATCTCTAATTCTGCCTGGTTCTCCATCTCTTATGTGCGCTTATCTCTTGGTGGCCGTGGGGTCTCTGTCTCCGACTTCTTGATTTTTCTTTCCATCTTCCTTTCTGTTTTAACTTTCTCGTCTCTGTCCATCTGTCTCTGCGTCTCTCCCTGCCTCCTTATTTCTGTCACTCCGTCTTATTTCTCTTATCTGACTCCCGGTCACTCTGAGCCCCTCTATCCCTGCCTCTGTTTCTCCTTCCATCTCTCTCCTTATCCCTGTCACTCTCTCTCTCTCTCTGACCATCTATCTCTCTGTTGTTCGCATCTCCGTTTCTATGTCCCTGGGTCCCGGCTTCCTCTTTCTGCTCCTGTTCTGATCCCATCTCTGTGGATCTGTCTCCCATTTGTCTCGTCTCATTGTCCTTCCCATCGGTACCTTGTCGCTTTTCCCTACTTCTGTATCTTCCCTGTTCCCATTACCTCACCTCCACTCTGCCTGTCTCTGCGTCTCTCCCTTTGCCTCTGTTATCTCTCCCTATCTCTGTCTCTCCCCGTGTCTGTCACCCTAACCTTTCCCTCTCCTCCCTATCTCTGCGTCTCTCCCTCCCTGTATCTTCGTGTGTCTCTTTCTATACCTTGTCTCCCTGTCTCTGTTTTCCTACCTCTGTGTCTCTGTGCCCCTCTCCTTCCTCTCGTGTCCCTCCCCGGGCCGGGGCGCTCAGAGGCCGCCCG